AACATTATATTTTATTTATCTTTCAAAAATTTTCCTTAATTTGGCCATCAGGAAAAAAAAACCAACTATTTTAGGGTGGGCCTGATTATTAAAAAGATGTTGACCAGCTGTTCCTGAACTTAAGACAAAAGATTAAGCTAGATGAATGAGATTTATAGTAGAACACAAAGGGTTTAGGTATAAATAGAGTCTAATCACAGTTTTGATTTGTTTGAAGCTGTAATGTTTTTCTCAGGAATATTATAAATTTTTCTTTAGGTGCTTTTAAAAACTAAAAATAGATGTTTCATCTGTCTGTATTGGGTTAGGTAGAGTCCTGCTGAGGATATAAAGTTGATTAATATTACCTCTAATGTTTTCTTCTGACCCAAGAGTTGTACAACCATTTAATAAGCCAGTCTGGAAATAGAATAGAGAATCTGAACTCCTTGTAAAAGTAATAATTGTAGCTTTAAAAGGTCCTACAGAATTTTACAATAATTAAATTGAAGAGATAAGCTGAAACAAAAATCATTGCTTAAAAATCTTTGTAAGAAAAACACTTCCTATAGCTGTCAGTTTTGAAGTAAGCTATAGTAAACTTCTTAATTTTATTCCTGAAAAATAAAAATTCTTTATATCAACTTGTCATCTACAGGAGATTGCTTGAGTTGGAGTTTTCAGTGTGTATGAATTCTACATTATTGTTGACCTTTTCATATTAGAAAATGAAGCTGCTGACAGTGATTGTACATACATGTACACAAGTCGGGGGGAAGACTACTGCAGTTCTACAAAAGGCTTCCTTCTATATCTTACAAGAAAATTCTGCCCTTTGATTTTTCTTTATTACTGCTGCTACTGCTGCTACTACTGCTGTAGTACTTATGTGCCAGGATTTGTTCTAGGTGCTTCAGATGTATTAGCCCATTTGATTCATATAACAGCTTACTGAATATGTACTATTACCGTCCCCCTTTAAGAGAGGAGAAAACATGTACAGAGAGAAGAAGTCCTCTTAGGGACATAGAGCTAGTAAGTGGCAAAATGGCACCTTGTGTTGTTTGGTCCAGAACCTATGCCCCTGCCACTCTGCAGTCTTGCCTACTACTAATCTACCACATTGGCCGTTGTATATAGTCCTCTCTTTTTTGCTTATTTCCCCAGTAGGAAAACAGAAAGTTTTACACAGTTGGAGATGATAAAGAATTACATACAATCCGCTATTGCAATTACAGTGTGGATTTCAATTAACTTTTCTTGACATAAAATTTAATATCAGGAATTGATTTCATGTGAAAATTCAGTTATATGAAATGTCGCTTATTGGATCAATGAGCATATTAGAGAAAGGCAGTGACTTAACTCCCATGCTCAACTCAGATGCTGATATAGGTGTACATGTGTGAATTACCACATTGCAGTAATAGAATGACTTGGTGAAGAAGTGGGTGCAGGAGATAAAAGAGATACCAGTAAGTATGACTTTGACCTTCTTCAGTGCCAATTATTCAGAGAACCTTATTTAACTTGTAAATGTTCCCTTGATAGACTTAAAATGACCATGTGTAATGTGAAGTTAGTATTATGTGTTTAGAAAACTGTTTAGGACAGGAAGTAGGCATTAGGAACTCTCACATATTTCTAGACTTTCAGAATTTTTTTTTTTTTTTTTTTGAGACAGAGTCTGTTCTGTTGCCCGAGCTGGAGTGCAGTGGCGTGATCTCGGCTCACTGCAACCTCCACCTCCCGGGTTCAAACGATTCTACTGCCTCAACCTCCTGAGTAGCTGGGATTACAGGCAAACACCACCACGCCCAGTTAATTTTTGAATTTTATTAGGGGTGAGGTTTTTCCATGTTGGTCAGGCTGGTTTTGAACTCCTGACTTTGTGATCTGCCTGCCTTGGCCTCTCAAAGTGCTGGAATTACAGGTGTGAACTACCATGCCCAGCCCAGAATTGTTTATTGGCAAAACAATTTTCAAGAAAACATGACCTGAGTATGCATCACTGTTAGAGATCATGGAAACTGTGTATTTTTTCTAAAATGTTTTAATAGACAAGAGCCAGATGGTACAAGCTTCGAGTGACTTTAGTACATCTGTACTAATCAAAATTGTATGAATAAGCATACTCAGTGTAATTAAGTAAGTGAATTCATCCGATATATCACAAACTCTTGAACATAGTGAATTAAAGACCATGGATATAAGACAATACCACTTATAACTACAGTAATACTAGTAACAACTACAACCACCACCACACAACTTACATTTATTGTGAATCAGGAAAGTGCTTTAAATGAATTATATTATTTAATCCTACAACAACCCTGTGAATTCACTATTATAACTTCCAACTCCACAGATAAGAAAAAGAGAGCATTAATTATGTGCACAGTTACACAATTAACAAGTATCATTTATTCAATATTTACTGAGTATACCCACCAGAGATCTGTACTGTTCCAGGTAGTGAAGAATTAAAAATGAGTAAAACAAAGTCCCTGCCTTCATAGAAGGACCCCACCTTTTATAAGAGAGACAGACAACAAACAAATAAACATGGAAACATAATAAGTCAGCTGGTAATTAGAATTATGTAGAACAGTAAAGCCCAGTAAGTAGACAAGAGAGTGCTAGCATAAGGTACTGTGATAGGCGTTGTCACTTTTTTATGCAGGGCAGTAAGGGGAGACCTCTCTGATAAGGTGACATTTTAGCAGATACCTGGAGGTAGAGAGAGATTTGTAGGAAGAGTGTTCCTGTGCTTGGAATACAGGGGAAGAATGGTCTAGGAGGCCATGTATTTGGAGTGGGTGAGGAGAAGCATGGTTGGAGTTTGAACCCAGATTTATCTCACTCCAGAGTCCATAAACCACTACACCAATCTGATAGGGTAACCACAACGTTACCTAACCTACTGTGATCTTAGAGACATATTAGCCAGATACATATTCTCATGGAAAAGAGGAGGGTAGTGACATTCTACTCTGAAAGTTCTGGGTTGCATTGAGGCTATGTGAGAAATCCCTGTGGTTTGTGGAGGGGTGTTTTTGAGACTAAAAGCAGAGAACAATTATGAAGCCTAAGTTTGGGGAACTGGGATTGTAGCTCCCATGCTCAGAATTCTTCCATGGTTCTTCAATTGCCTGCAGAGCTTTAGAGAAATTAAGTAACTTTCTGAAAGCCTCATAGCAAACAGACCTGCTTTTGAATTATGATAAAGACTATATTCATAACTGCTGAGCTATGCTGTTCTTCTCAAAGTGTGAAATCAATCACATGCTCCTTGGCTTCCTGTCACCTACATATCAAAGTTGACATGACTTGGCAAGGAATGCAGAACCCCCAGAGTGTGGCTGCACCTTCTTTTATGCCCTCCTCCCACTGCCCCCTCCCCATGCACCTTGGCATGCAACAGAACGGTGCTCCTCAGGGTCATGTTCCTAGGATTTTTTGCATTCTGAAATGTCCTTCTTTCTCTTATTTTGTAACCAAGATTTTATATCTTTCTTGAAGCCTTTTTTTTTTTTTTTTTTTTGCCATTTTCCTTCCCAGATTGAGTTTTGACTTCTTCCCAGGCTGGTTTTAGAGCTTATATATCTTTGTACTTGCTCATCATTTCCAGTAGAAATCATTCCTTCAGTCCCTATCCTCCCAGCTAGGAATACGCTTGCCTAAAAACCTATGGAAGCATTGACCATGGATTTTATTACCACACTTTTAAAGTAATTTCTTTGCTTTTGTATCTGCCTTGTCTTCTAAACTATGCCATTCAAAGCTTTTTAAAAATCTATATCCCAACCAAATATAGGGCCTGGCATGTAGTTTACCTGCTTACTTAAATTAAACAAGAATATTAGATGCAGAGTTATAATGATGACAGATTCGATCAGATTAAAACAAGTGGAGTATGTTGAGCAGTAATATTAGTTCATTATGGAAAAATAGATGATAATAAAAACTATTCAATGAAAGATTATAATGTGTCAGGCATTAAACTCAGTGTAAAAATATATTATTCTATTATTCAAGATCAAATTCAAACTTGGAAGATATGTCTTATTAGGTATGGCTTTAAAACTAAATTAAAATCTTAATAGATATAACTTTAAAACTAAATTAAAATGTATTTAGTTTTTAACTATTACTAAGTGAATAGTAGGAGAGTAACTGGGGCTTTGATTGGAGGAAAAAGTCTTTATAAAGGGACAGAAGTCATCCTTGTTTCTTTGTATTCAGTTTTTAAAACATTACTACAAATGTGTATACTTGGCTACATGGCAGAGATCTTCCGGAAGGAACACTGCCCTCATTTATAATTTGGACATAGCATGTTGGGTGAGACAGAGGGCTATTGGGGAAGTGAGCCCAGATGAGGCCTTGCATATAATGCAGTGCTTCGTGCTGTTATCAACGGTTAATTGTAAAGGTTTTAGTAAGTACCATCCTTCCAACCTAAGGCCCAAAGTGGGATACTTCAGTCCATGGTTACTTAGTATAATTCCTGATTTTCATTTAGTAGGAAGTCTACTAATTAGGAAGTCTATTGAGTAATTTTTGAATGAACTGCTATTGCTGATTGCTTTGTTTCTCACACAGGTATTTAATCTCGAATTGATATAGTGCTTATAATCACTGATAAATCATTTTGAGACATGCATTTAATTTTGGCTTATATAACATTTATGTTACTCTAGTGACGTTGAGTTGCATTCTGAAAGATTTAAGTGCAAAATCTTTAAAAAAAATTTATCCATAGTTTTCCCACACTTCTCATCACACAGTACAGCTTTTCTTCCCTTTATTCACTTGATTTTATTGTTTCCTTAATTTCTCAATATTTTCTGCCAATTATGTGAATTAGGCATGCTTTAATCCTAATACTTAGAGTCTATCAGTAGGAAAGACTACATTAATGCTCAAAAATCTATTTTAAAAAGTATTTTGCTCTCAATCCTTTCCAGTATCCAGTAGAAATTTAATCTGAAGCTCTTTTTGTGGTTTTCCTGCAGTGACACCACAGCCAAAGCCCTGTGGGAAGCTTTACTCAACACTAAGCACAAAGAGGCAGTGATGGAGGTTCGGAGACATCTAGTGGAAGCGGCAAGCAGAGAAAACCTGCCAATCAAGATGAGTATGGGTAAGCCTAAACCTAGGACACAGGCAGTCTCTGGGGAAGCTTATTTAAACCTGCTCTGAATTGTGGGCCAACCTAGACAACATGGAATCTAGGTTAAAGTAGTAACAACTTTTGTATACTGTTGAAAGAATAGGGAGGGAATATGTGCACACTGCCCTTGGGCTCAGCAGTGACCACTTTTCTTAGATTCAGCTTTGGGAACTCCAGGAGAGTTTTTGCTTACAAAGACTGATTATTTTAGTTTCTTATTCATCTATTCTAGAACTATCAAAATTGGTCTGGGCTACCTCTCCTTAATTCTATTCTACCCCTACTCCCTTTTTTCCCCATTCTTCCCCTGTTCCCCCACTTATGGTGGGTAAAAGTTCTCTTATTACTTTTGAATTAGTGAATGAAATGGTACTGAGAAGACAATTGAGCAGACAGACATGGTCTGGCCTAGTCCCTCACCCTTGGAGTGCTAATTGTCAAGTCACATCAGTGTTATTTCTTCTTCACCAGGGATTACATACCTAACTTTTCTATTTCTCATTTTTTTGCACATCCACCTTTGTCTTTGGTATTAGATGAATATGACTGCAATGGAATTTAAGTTTTAAGTGGCCTTTTTTCTTTTGATCAAAAAGTCAGAGAACCACAGAACTAATGTGTTGATTTTAGAAAAAAATTTGGCTTTTCATTTTTTTTGTTTTAAGAAATATTAAATAATTTTATTGATACAGAAATATTTAAATACGGATATTGAATCTGGTTAATAGGTAGAATTTGTTTCTGGAAGCTTGTAAAATTTTATTTTTCTCTTTTAAAAATAAGATTTCTCTCTTATAATCTGTTCTTAGGTATTCAGTAAATATTAGTACATTTTACTGGATGGGAACATTTTTCTTTGCTGAGATTCATAGCCCAAGTTCTTGATTACACATGAGGGCAAAAATCAAACTAAGTTGAAACAGAACAAAATTTGGAAGTAGCAGAATATGGATGAATCTAGGAAGAAAAATGTTACAGGGTTATAACATGAAAAAAAAGTGCATTAGGTGACTATATTTGAGGGCTTCGAGGAATATAATGATGATAAGAAAAGTGAAATAACTAACCATTATTGAGAACTTATAGTATGCTAGGTCTTTGGACTCTTTACATGTGTTATCTTATTTCATTCTTAGAGTAATTCTATGAGGCATATACTATTAGTATCTCATTTTTCAGATAAGGAAACTGAAACAGAGAAAAATAAGTTGCCCAAGGCTATATATCTGATAAGTGGTAGGACTGGAATTCAAGTCCAAGAATTTTGATGCCACATAATTGCACTTTATTTATAAAATTATTCTAATTCATATACCCAATGCCAGAAGTGGTTTTGAAGGGTGAGAGCTCTTTTAATAGTTTTGAATTAATAAATGAACTATTATACTAAAAACAATTTAGCAGACAGACATGCCCTAGCCTGGCCCCTCACCCTTAGAGTGGGTCTCAAAGTTGCTGCACTGAAACATCCTGGCATTTGACTATTAATTCTCTTTCTTTTCTTCCTCCTTTTTTCCTTCCTTCTCTCCCTCCATCTCCCATCCCCCCCTCTCCTTTCCTTTCCATAGCCCTAGGTACACATTAGTAACAAGTGTATTTACCTTATTGAGTGTCTTATTCTTAAGTATGTTGAAACAAGAACTAATTAATATTGTGAATTGACTGGACGCGGTGGCTCACGCCTGTAATCCCAGCACTTTGGGATGCCAAGGCGGGCGGATCACCAGGTCAAGAGATTGAGACGATCCTGGCCAACATGATGAAACCCTGTCTCTACTAAAAATACAAAAATTAGCTGGGAATGGTGGCGCTTAGTCCCAGCTACTCAGGAGGCTGAGGCAGGAGAATCACTTGAACCTGGAAGGCAGAGGTTGCAGTAAGCTGAGATTGCACCACTGCACTCTAGCCTGGCAACAAAGGAAAAAAAAAAAAATTGTGAATCAAGGAAAGTAGGAATGCACAAAGGGTCTTGATGTTAAGGTTAATTTATATGTGTTTCAGAGATACAACATTATGATACTATTACAGAGCATAAATCAATTTTTATTGCTAAATTCAGGACTCTTGAAAGAGCAATAAACTACTTTTCTAAAGGGCTGTATCTTTGAAAAATAATCAGAGCCAGAAATTTTTAAAAAGGCCAGGTAATCCCATAAGGAATTCACATTTAAATGTTTGAGTTTTCTGTCAACCAAAAAAAAAGATTTTTTTTGAAGATAGAATTGTTTGCTTCATCCCACAACTCTAGATAGGGGTTGGGGTGGGAGTGGGAGGAAGAAAGAAGGGAAAAAGCAGAGGATTGTTAGCAAACTTCTGTTGTAAGAAGGACCAAAAAGATTGATTCAAAGCATACTCTATCCATGTGCTAACTGCTCTTTAGTAACAGATAGCACAGTATGGTTGCCCATTTTTGCTTCATATCCCTAGCCAGAATTTCTTGTGTCTCATTTTCATATGTAAATAGATTCATAACTATGAACAGTAAGGAAAAAACTAGAACTTGTAAACATAACAAAACATTGACTTTTGAAAACTGCCTATCATATAGCTTATCATATAGTGTTTAAAACTATAAAATATATTTTAAACTATGCACAATTCTCCCATCTTTGCTGTAGTTTCTACTGAAGTATAAATTTTTCTGACTGTGATAAAGGCTTCTAGTATTTTTAAGATGTTAAACAGATTTTAATTATAGACTCAGGATTCTCTTGTATTTAAATTTATGGGGAGGGATCCCATGATTGAAACCTCAGATCTTAAATATAAAATTTCTCAGTACAAGGTAAATTCATGTTAAAACACTATGAGTACCAAGAGAAATAAACATCATCCACTTAAAGGAAAAATGTTTAATTGCTAAAAGACAGAAAAAATTTCATTTTATCATTGCACATATAAACATGTCATCTTTCTGAGAGCTTGTTATTAAATTGTCAGTTAACTAAATAGATATGTTCCAGAAAAGTGACTTTTAAAACATTGAAATGGAATTGTATTTTTCCCACTGGCTTCCATAATGAAAAATGTACTCTGAAAGTAACAAAACAAACAGACCATAAGAAATCCATTTGTTTAAGTCTAAAATGGCTACTCACAGAAGAAATGAGTAGATGATGTCCATCTCAAACTCTGGTACATTTTACGGAGAATCTTTCACTGGAATATGATAGTGGTTGAGGAACTTCATGTATTTGTCCTATAGTTTTCTACAAAGTGGACATATTCCCCAGTGTTTAATGGGTGGCAGAAGTATTCTATTATATTAGAGCTGAAGTGAAACAGATATCTTTATGATACTGTCTTTTCTTTGTAGCTAGAGTTCTTGAAAGAGTGTTCTATACTTGATGCCTCTGTTTCTTTATTATTTTCTTACTAATGTAGTGTAGTCTGGCTCATGACACTTTTTTACTGGAAAGTCTCCCAGACCACTGAATATAAGTACATTTTTACCAGTCACCATCCTTCTCGACTTCTTTGCAGTATTCACTACTAGACTTTGCCGCTTTCTTATATGTCTCTCTGTGTTTTCTGTGACTTTAGCCTCTTCTGATTGTGATGCAGTACAAAGTCAATTATATCTGAGGGTGAATCACAGTTCTGCCACTTATTAGCCAAACTTCAATTCCTCTGTCCATAAAATGGGGGAAATAGCTATTTTCTGGAATTTTAAAGGAGAATAAAAGCTCTCAGTAGAGTGAAGTTATGACTATCAAGCAAACTGGAATGAGTAAGCTATAGTTACAGTCTCTGTCTATGGGAAAATCTACATGGGAAACTAAATTATAAGAAGGTTGTTTGGTGAGAGTGAAAGCAAAGCAAACAGATCAAGTTAGATGATTTCCCCTTTCTTTCTCGGAAATGTACTCATTCATTCTTTCCACTTCACTCATCTTTTTCTAGGCTTTATGCTAAATATCTCCCTTCTGATAAACCTGTCTTTTTTTAAGCAGAATTCTAAATAGCTTTTCCATGTTCGGCTTCGTTATAATTCCATTGCATTCCCTCTTTCCTGACTCTGTTCATTCCTCCTTGACTCCTCCCTGCACCGCCAACATCCCCTTGACTGTATTTGGGATTCCTAATCCTCTGTGGTCACACTTTTATGGAAAAAATCTTTAGAGTTACATTTATAGATGATAATCTGATCCATTACAGTGTGATACTTCTTAATTGCTCTCCTAGTTCTGGGACATCTTAGTGTCAGTCCTATAAACTCACCACCGTTGTCTCTTTTCCAAATTAAATATGATGAGTTCTTTTAACCATTTGGGAAAAGACAAGCCTTTCCCACCTTTTACTTCTAGTTTTAAGTCACTGGCAGAGCTCTAGTTTGTTAACATCCCTCCTAAAATGTGAATTCCAGAACTGAACAAAGATGTTGTCTTGTTTTTCCCCTATTTTGAACACTTCACTGTGCTTCTCTCTTTTTTTTTATTTTTTTTTTTTGAGATGAAGTCTTGCTCTGGGGCCCAGGCTGGAGTGCAGTGGCCGGATCTCAGCTCACTGCAACCTCCGCCTCCCGGGCTCAAGCGATTCTCCTGTCTCAGCCTCCCAAGTAGCTGGAACTACAGGCGCCCGCCACCGCGCCCGGCTATTTTTTTGTATTTTTTTAGTAGAGACGGGGTTTCACCTTGTTAGCCAGGATGGTCTCGATCTTCTGACCTCGTGATCCGCCTGTCTCGGCCTCCCAAAGTGCTGGGATTACAGGCTTGAGCCACCGCGCCCGGCCTGTGTTTTTATTTAGATGGGGTTTCACCATGTTGGCCAGGCTGTTCTCAAACTCATGATCCGCCCGCCTCGGCCTTCCAAAGTGCTGGGATTATAGGCGTGAGCCACCGTGCCTGGCCTTTGCTTCTCTTAATAAAGCCCCAGAAAAGATTTGTAATTTTTGTTTTCCACCAATTCCACACACTTTCATTTCTGAATTTCAACATTTAGCAGTATTGACTTTGAAAAACAGCAATACA